GAATAGTATATTTTCAGATTGTATTTTAAAATTGCAGATGCTCTAGCATGTGCTAATAGATGTCCAAGATGCCTAGAATTATTGTAAGAAATAAATTCATGAACTTGTGTCTCAGTATGTCCTTCAAAAATTTTTTTAATTTCATATATACATTCCCCCTCTTGTCTTAATAATATATATTTTATTGGATAAATAATTTTAAATAATATTTCAATACTTGTACCACTTCAGAGCAGGTCCAAAAATTCCCAAAGGTCATGCTAGAATATTTTGGGGTTTGGATGAGAAGGATTACGTTGGAATTGCAGTTGTTGGTCTTGGAAAAAAGAATCTTGGCATTAATCAGCTTGAAGAAATACATGAGGGAAAAGAAAACATACGTATAGCTGCAGCCGGTAAATATTCTTTATATAAAAATCAATGTGTTTACATAGAGTAATAGGAACATCCTTTTCATTATACTTTAATAATAATGTTATAATGCTACATTAGCTGGATGTCGTGCATTGGATGCGGTTGAAATAAAAGACATACATCTAGAAACATTAGGAGATGCTGAGGCTGCAGCAGAAGGAGCTACATTATCAACATGGTTCTATCAAGGCTCAAAAAATAAGGAAAAACAGAAAATTCTTCCAAAAGTTTCATTATATGGTCAAGAAGGAGAGTAAGTAATACATTCTTTCTTTTTCTTTTTGTATATTTATTTATATTATGGTAGTGTAAAGAAAATTATTTTTTTAAGGGAACAGTGGCGTATTGGGAGTATTAAAGCTCAGGCTCAAAATTGGGCACGCCATTTAGCGGATACACCAGCCAATTTAATGACACCTACAATATTTTCGGAAGAAGTACAGACACTTCTCACTAAATTAGGAATTACCGTAAAAGTTCATAATAAAGAATGGGCAGAACAGAAAAAGATGGGTTCTTTCCTTAGCGTATCTCACGGTAGTTGTGAGCCACCGAAGTTTGTTGAAATTTGCTACAAAGGTGCTGATGATAATTCCCAACCAATTGCGTTTGTTGGAAAAGGTGTTACTTTCGATGCTGGCGGTATCAGTCTTAAGGTAAAGTAATTGTAAATTAATACATTTAATGTAAATAATATTATATAACTTTAGCCTCCAGCTGATATGGACGAAATGCGTGCTGATATGACTGGTGCTGCATGTGTAGTAGCTGCTATTCGAGCTGCTGCTGAACTTAAATTAAAATTGAATCTTATTGGCTTGATACCACTTACTGAAAATTTGCCATCTGGGACTGCAACTAAACCAGGAGATGTTGTAGTTGCAATGAACGGGAAGAGTATTATCGTAGATAACACCGATGCGGAAGGCAGACTTATTCTTGCGGATGCACTTTGTTATGCTCAAGAATTTAATCCAAGGTAACTGTTGCATCAAGTAGGAAATATATAACAACTGATACAGTAGTATAGATATTCTTATTAAATACTTTTCATATGCAGTTTTATCTTGGATCTTGCAACACTAACTGGTGCGATGAGAATTGCTTTAGGAGGAGCAGCAACTGGAGTTTTCACAAACAATAGTTCACTGTTTGAAAAACTAAGAAATGCAGGCACTCTTACTGGTGATAGAGTATGGAGATTTCCACTTTGGCAGCATTTCACAGATGAAATGACAAGTAAGAAAATAATTCAATTAATCAATATCTTTAACTTTGAAGAGTAATATATCGAATAATATGGTATCAATTGCAGAAAAAGTTAAATCAGCTGATATAAGAAATGTTGCGAGAACGAAAGGTGGTGGTTCATGTACAGCCGCTGCTTTCCTACATGAATTTATCTCGAACAATACACCATGGATGCATTTAGATATTGCAGGAGTAATGGGCCCTGGACCTGATAAGTTACCATATGTACCAGCTGGAATGGCAGGTCGTCCGACCCGCACGCTGATCCAGTTTTTGCAGGCATTGTGTTAAAATTTACAACTATTTTAAGTTGTATAATGCAAGTTTATCTATTTTTATATATACGTATACATATATGTATACACGCATGTATATATATGTATATATAACTTTGTTCTATATATACATACACATATACACAATATTATATATATACATATATTTTATCCACGCTTACCTCCCGTTTGACATTCTGACATTTATACAAAATGACTAAAGTCGATACAACGAATTAAGTACATGCATCGGAATGTACAGAGTTATCCACTTATCTTGGAACCCGCGTTCGTGAGAACATATGAGAATGGTAACAGTGTAACATATACGTTTACTACTACAGTCAAATATCGCACGCAATCTACAAGCTGTTGCTAGAAGTACTTCAAATTTGACATTACAATAAAGACGGTCGCTGAGAAAGCAAGTGTCGCATTTTTGTCTGACGATTTCATGTCTCTACGCGTCCCCGAAAACTTCGAAGCAAGCAAGCGTATTCGCTTTAGTCCCACATGTAATCAATTTTTTTTTTTTTTTGGTATGCTGATATTTCTCATTATGCTCACCTGAAATTTAACTGAAATGTAATTTTTTTACTTAAAATTGTATTCATCTGCCATCAGTTTCATCTAACATAAATAACTTCCAATTCAGGCATTGCTGCGAAAGTTTAATTGATTTCTATTTTTTTTAAATACTCAGTCTAAATATGAATTCCGTGTTTTGTTGTATCTTAATCACTCACTTTATTCTTATATTCGACAGCAGAACAATTAAAAATCAGACAGCGATCGTCTTCTCCTTATTGTAACGCCAAATTTGAAATCCTTCGGCGATTACCAAACCACATTGTCTCTCGCCTAATTATACTTCTAACAACAGCTCATAGGTGGCGAACAATATTTGATTGTAATAGTAAGTGTGTATATATATAATGTTGCCATTCTCATATGTTCTCGCGAACGCGGGTTCCAACTTAAGTGAATAACGTTGTATAAGAAAATCGAATCACATGCCATTTATAAAATTCGTAGTCATTGTATTTGTGTACAGAATTATATCTTTACAGTACAGCAATACCTAGTACAAATATGGTGAATCTTCTTTTGTACAGCTCGCTTTATTCTCATTATATAAGGTGTGTTACATTTACTGAAACAATTAAAGACAGTGTCAGTGACTATCAATAAAGGAATAGGAAAGATTTAACAATATCAAAAAAGTCTGATTGTACGACGTCGTATAGAATAGAATACAATATACTAAATTTGTACAAAGTATAGCTTAATATAATAGAGATATATCTATGGGAGGTATATTAAATTTTGGGCAATTTATACTTTATTTGTGTTGCATTTAAAATACATAATTTTGATCAATATCGTGTAAACTGTTACACGTAATTTGTAAGGGTGTTAATAACTATTTGAACTTAATATAATAAAATACAATATGACTTATTGTATGAAAAGTCGTACTTCTAATTTTATGTACATGTAAAATTTATGTTAACGCTTTGACCATTGCAATTTTCTTATGTACAGTTTCTGCTGCTCATCCCCTTGAACAGTTTAAAAGGACATATGTACTGATTATTTTATTTCGTGAATACACCATATGTTCTTTATGTAATTTTCCAGTTATTATTACATAAAGAGAAAATATAAAATACCAAAGTGAAAAATCAGCAATTTACAGAATGAACACAAAATATTTTTCCAGAAATAACTGAATGGTATTATATGTTCATTATTTATACTGATATACGATTTAATAAAACTGGCATTATTTAATTATCATTTTTTAATTAAAATCCTGTTTTTTCTAAATAATTAATTAAGATGCATCACGCATATTTTTTAATGTACATATTTATATAACCATATTATAAAATTGCGTACTAAACATTAACTTATAAAGCGCTCTGCCCTTTTACTAAAGATAGTACAAACCTATATGATCGAAAACAATTTTCTGCGACCGCAATAATTTTAGTGATAGGAACGATATCTTACAATAACAAATTAATTTGTTATAAATATATTCATGTACAAGATGGAGGCTGCTGCTGTGGAGAGGGAAGGGGCGCTGCCGCAGCAGCTGCAACTGCGGCAGCAGCAGCATACGACGACGGGTCCGAAGTATCGAGAAGTGGTGGTGGCGGAGGTAAACTGCCTCC